AAGGAGCCCGGCCGGGACAGCCTGCTCAGCCCACCTGCAATGCTGGGCTGTCGGCTTTTTTTTGTTTTAAATTATTTATTGCTGCAGTTATAAATTAGAGATGAACGGTAGCCCTCGGGGCTCTGTTTTGGATGTGGTCCTTATTAATGAATTTCAAGCATTTTCCGCTGCAAGGGGCGTTTTTGGTAAGAGAACCGTGCATTTAGCACGCCGCAGTTCGCCAAGTTTCCCTCCCTGCGCAAGGGGCCGTGCAAGCGAGGGGCAGAGCGGCGAGGCGCCCACTTACCTTGCTTACCTTCGTCTCCTTTCGGTTCGCCCAGCAGAAGAAAACGATGGCGATTCTAGTTCCCTCCTAGTTTACATGTTTCAAGATGACCTCAGCCCATCACGGCATCGTGCTTTCCCTTTAGCCGTTAATTACAGCAGCATGCCCAGAATTCTTATACAATTATTTAGTAAAATGAAATGCACTTATAATGTCTTTTTCACACACGATGCATCCCGAAGCCGTAACATGAATCGCGCCGTTCGGCTCAGTGCCGCGCGGCCCGCCGCGCTGCACGGCACACCCCCACCCCGACACGGCCCCTGCACCGCCCAAGCGGGGACAGCGGAGACGAGAGCTTTTGCTCATTTTTTTTTGTTTTGTTTTTTTTTAATGTATCACAATGAGCAGGAAACATACGTGATGAAATATTTCCAAAGGAGTATATTCAATTACCATCTACAGTCAACTCAACTATGACAACAAAGTCTTTTGTGACAAATTTTTTAGAGTTTTGAAAGTTCCATGTGGTTTCTGTTTCTGTCCGTCTCCATGTATTTTGGTACAGTTCGAGATCAGCATCGTTACAGTAACAAAAAAAAGCTAACAAGACTACATTATAGAAAAACACCAAGAACATCATTTTTGGTTTCACTTGCTCTATTTTTTTGTACATTGCAAAGGCTGTTCATATCCCTCTTCACCTCATTTATGCTTTCTGTTCTACCCTAACTCGCCCCCCAAAAATAAAAACGAAAAAAATAGTCAAAGCTTTGTGTTTCACAGTGGGCAGTATCTCAGCGCCAACAAACCAACCAACCAAGCAACCGACCAAGCAACCAACCAACCAACCAACCCAATTTCTCCTTCTATTTCAAAAGTTTAATTTTTTTTTTTTTTTTTAAAGCAAAATATATTTCCACGAACAGCGAGTGTGCTGGCTCGTGTCTGCGCCTCCCTCGCCCCCCCGCCTGCCCCCCGGGGCGGGGCGGCCGGGCTGCAAGAGGAGGAGGCAACCTCGCACTGCAAGTCTCTAGAAACGTTTAGAAAAAATACGAGGAAATGAATTTTTAAAATGTTTTAGTGGGTGGGAAGGAGGAGGGGGAAGAAGGACAGAGAAATTGCACTATGACCAAGCAATATAATTAAAAAACCGAAACAGAACAAGACAAAACAAAAGGATTTCCAAAAGAGACCTTGCGGAATCTGACAGATAAAGCTAGTGTTAAATTGGTAACTGGTATCACACAGAGAATCAGAAACAAAACAAACAAAAAAACTTCTATATGATACAGACAGAGTAACATACAACAGTTAAATGGCAAAAAATATATATATATATATATTTCATAGAATTACAAACAAGATAAAATAATGGAAAACAAAAACTGTACAACTTTAGAATTTAAAAAATGTTCATCTCAAACACGGGGAGAAATACAAGAACTTCTGTTAAAAGAAAACAGTTTGTTAAAACAGCAAACGCTTTTTGTGTACTTGTTTCCGTTTTTGACACCTTATGCTACAGCTGGGTACTGGTAGGAATATTCGATGGTACTCTCTTTAGTATCGTCTACTTAAAAAACAATTAAAAAAGGAATTTTGCACTGTGCATTAGCCTAGTTAGAAATATGTACAACAGTTCAGGATCTAGTCTTTCGTCGAACTAAAACCAAAAAAATCCATAAAAATAAAAGCGTCCCGCTAGAAAATGAACCCCACGTTCGTCTCTCGAATGCTCCAGTCTCTCGCAGAGTCGACGAGCGGCTTCAGCACGGGGAGGAGAAGCCCGGAGGCGGCGGGAGGAACCTGCGTTCACAGTCTTCGAAGTTCCCTTTTGAAGCAGGAGGAGGATGGAGATGACGGGGAGAAGGCTCTCGCGCTTTCGGGGCAGAGGGACCGGGGTGG